ATGTCATAATAATATTTCCATTCATATATATCAATATACATAAATATATATCATAATTCAATCTATAGTCATTTTAATCAATGATATTAGGTGTAAAGACAACTTTTTTTGCTTCAGATTGATGGATGTGAAAAAAGTGGATTGTTCAGAGCATTTACACAACATGTATTGCATCGTTTGAACATTACTCAAAAACCAAATAGCAATGAAAAAATAAGGATAACATTTTTATCTAGAAATACAAAATATAGAAATGTATTGAACGAGAATGAATTAATAACTGCTTTAAAAAATCATTCTCAGTATGAAGTAAAAAAGGTATTTTTGATTAAACAAATGTACTACTAAGTTTATGAACTAATTAAAATTGTTTTCAKGTTGTTTATAGTAGCAACTTCTTAACCTTTAAAGAGCAAGTACATATAACACATAACACAGATATATTTATTGGAATGCACGGCGCTGGGTTAACACATCTTTTATTTTTACCCGAATGGGCAGTGTTATTTGAACTGTTAGTATGGATTTTTCTAGTAGAAATTTATATTTATCGTTAATAAAGTTTATATTAGAGTTGATATTCATTAGTATAACACTATAAATTATTACCTAATTATTATAAATTTTTTCTAACAGATATAATTGTGAGGATGAACATTGTTACAAAGATTTGGCTCGCTTGAGAGGTGTTAAGTACATAACATGGCGAGATATAAATAAGTTTACTGGGCAAGATAAGGTAAACAATATCAAATTTTCAAAAAAATAATGATTTGTAAAATCAAAAACATTGGTTCTTCATTAAATTTGAAGTTCAATGCATACATTTTATTGACTTACTAAATACGACAAGTACAAACAATTTCTATTTTAATCAGCATCTTTGAATTTCATTCAGTGTGATTAAATTCAAGATGTTTTGTTCATTTTTGTGTTCATTATGCTTAAGTAGGACCTAATATTATTCAATGAAAAAATACATTCATCTTTACCTACTGTTCAGCTGAACGGTTAGGTTAAAACTACTTTCCTTCATTTTTTTTTTATTATTTGTTATAAAATATTTATTTCAGACAAATATAAAAAATTGTATGCATACAAAGAAAAAATTATCTTCTACAAAATATGTTCAAACATCTACTGAACAAATCATTGACATTCTTCAACTCTTATTAAATTCAACATTCCAAAATATAAATATAATATAAGAAGACATATAAATCTTGACTTAAATAATAATAAATAATACGAAAATTAAATAGAATATTTTTGTGTTATAGGGCCAACATCCAGATCAAGGTGCACATGCTAAGTTTACCAATTATTCATTTGATAAAGATGAATTCTTAGCTATAGTAGATGAAGCCGCTACACATGTAAAAAAAATTAAACACGGTTATAGTCCTAAATTACACGACGAACTTTAATACTTGTTTGTTGTGCTTCAGTATTAACTGACTTTAATGCAATTTTGTTAATTATCTATATTAATATTGCACATTGAGATATTTTTATTTTTACTTTTTACTTAAGATTATGTTGTTTAGTTATTTTTTGTTTTTATTATGTAATATTTCACTTTTTTAAATAAATAATTGTTTTTTTTTTTTTATCACTGAATGGCTTGTTGTAATTTTATTTTTCTACATTAATTTGATTTTATATGAAATAAGATGATACATTTCATGAATTCATTGGCAGTCCTAGTTAATATACTCCCTTAAGATAAATATTGAGTTATCAAATTTTTAGTTTATTCTGTGGAGTAATGTTGAAAATACTTTCTTACTAACTTTTGTCATAATATCAAATATTTTTTGACATAAAACCAGTGTCTTTAGTTAATAGTATTAAATGCATAGATATGAAAAATAATAAATTTAATTACAACTGTAATTCTAGGCCACACATTGTGTGCAGAATAATACAAATAATTTAAAGTAGATATTATCATATGTTTAAAATGTGTCTGTTATGGGTCAACGGCAAAACATTTGTTTTTGGTTATTGTAGGCAACAGACTTTATTTTTTTTAGAAAAGACGTTTGTAAGCTGAAAATTAATAAAAAAAGGTTTAAAACAGCTATATTGTGGATTATATATTTAACACAGATTCTAATTCAGTTATTTTTAAATTTTATTTCATGTGATAAATAAGAGGATAAATTATTGATTGTGAATAAAATCTTATCTTCGCTTAAAATTGTGTATAAAATACGATCATTATTAGTTGATATTATGAATAAAATATGAATAGATGTTTACATTAGTTATCTGCTACAGAAATCCTTCATTTTTATTTTTATTACAATTTTTGTTTTTGAACTACTAGGTATCTACTTCAATAATTATAAACAAGAATATTTTTAAGCATATATACATTATTATTCAATGTCATAATTTATAGAGATCTCAACTTGTACCTTAGAACACCAAATATTGATATCAATGATATTTAGCACATTACGYGTTACGAAAATATTTTATTGATGCATTTATTGTAGTATATTAAACGAATATTATTTATTATTTTAATGATAATGTTTTAGCTGTATACGTAGGTTTAGGTACCTAGTATGTACATACATCGTAGATCGTTTTATAATATAGTTTACACGCTTTCCCTTCATGTACATGTGCCTAAATATAATAATAATATTTATAATACGAACTGTGTTTATGAAAAATGTTCCATGAACACTTATTCATTTTCAGAACTCTTCAAGTCGAAATCTTTTGTGCCAACACCAACTATTTGTGAGTACAGATATTAGTTATTGGTATTATGACATATCTCATAAATACTAATATTTTTAAATGTCGGTGGCCATGGGTAAACCTTCCATTTTGATTTCCCAATAGTACATATTATGATTGGACACGAACAGCATGTCACCTCGAATTGCTTCAGTATCTTTGTTAGTGTTTGGATGAATTACTACCTTCAACGTGTCATCTGATACACTCACATCAGTGGTTGATTCTAAAGGATCTTATCCCCATTCCATGTCTGGTCAATCCAATATTAATTATATGGTAACATGTATATCGCTATGATACTTTCTATATTAGGGTCTGTTTTAAGCCGCCTGATAAACATAACATGTTTGCCTCTTGCGTTAATTAAACAACGTGGAATTCTTCTTAGTTAGATTATTTGATTATTTATTTTGACAAAACATATATATTTATTTATAA